GCAGTTAAAGATACTGACATGGAAATACCTACAGCACATCACATCCTACGTCTACTATCAACCACTTCTTTTTACGGTCTATTCCTTTTATGCAGCAAAATAATAATCACCAGCGGCTAGCTAAGCTGCCGTCGCAGTCTATCAAGTTGGCCGACGCCAACTTGACGGACTGCGACGAGGCTTACGACCTTCACAAAAGACTATAAATATAATTTTTACGGCGCGATACCATAAACTGATGGAGGAACTCCAATATGAGCCTTTCCTCGTAAAGGCACGTCACGTGTCCACTGGATGATCAAACGCCTTCTTTGGAGATGGTCGTCCTGTCTGCAAGCAAGGAGGACACACTACTTTCGCAGCTTAAATACGTGCGGAAAGCGTCGTCCGCTCGCGAGGAAACCACGGCTCTGCACACTGAGCGATACCCAAGTTCATTTAACTGCCACCTGATGATGCGAGAGTGGTGATGGTGAGGTGAAAAGGGGAGTGAGCTGATACCAACAAAAGAGAACTCGTCCGACCACACCCTTTTTCGCCCAATACACGTGCAAGGCTGATCAGCATATGATTCTATATGGGGCACATCGGGGTTTTTGCTTTTTTCGCACTTTTTGATTTGTGAACTATTTTGCCATGAAAACTCGAGCTGCACAAATTACCATTTTCGATCGATGGACAAGGACGGACAAGGAACTGCTGGGAAAGTTAAATCTGGATGCTTTCTTTCGGCTTTCCAGTTTGGCATTTTGATCTAACAGACCCTCCAAGGTGTCATGCAGCTTTTAAAACAGACATAGACTTTATCTCGAGCACTCTACTCTAGAACTCACATTGGTCTGGTTTTAGATGCGCTTCACAATCATTCAAATGAAGGTAAAGCCTGTTGTCCCTCACAAAAGCGGAACATCGCACTGTAGGTTTCACCTACACGATCGTCCGCACCATTACCCTCAGAATTTTGAGTTCTGGAGGTAAATTTCACACGCGATTGCGTTCTGGTGCAAAGTTACAAAGCAAAAAGTTGAAAATATGCAGATAGCTTCCCTGGCGACTTCATAGGTGACATTAACCTTTCACTAATGTGAGGGTGTAAGGTGGGGACCGCCATGAATGAGATGACATCAACAGTACCAACAGCGCCTACAACCAGTGTAGGTACACCATTAAAACATCATATCAGTACTATAAACCGTTTTCGGACGTACATATTCAAGGAATTAATAGTATTATAGTATTCAGTTAAAAGGAAATGACGATGATAGCTTATTACCTTGTTATTCTTGACGAGAAATATAAATCAGCATATCCAGAAAATAAATTCATTTGATTCTCGACTTCCTCACGCAAAGGTCTGAAATACACCACTTTTATATGCTTGCTAGTATAAGTCACCGGAGAAGATTCACTACCCAGGGAGGAACACTTAGGAAGTCTTGAGAGTCTTTTAAGTTTCAGAATGACAAACTGGAATAGAAAAGCCTTCTAAGTGAAAGAAAAACGAGATGCTGTGGGTATGTTGAGTCGCATAGAACCTAACAACTGAGTTATGCATGTCGTTTAGGAGAATACCGTGCACGCACAAAAAAACTCATAGTTTCATGTATGTAAGTGAAAGCAGGCTTATAAACAAACCATACTGTGAATTGCATACTGTGAATAGTGGCGTTCAAGTGCAGACCTATAGTCGCTAAGTGACTCCTCAGAGAACAAAAAAGGGAAAAAACCATGGAGAACTCCGTTGCGTTATTTATTTTTTTTTCTTTTCTTCTTCTCTCTTCTCGGGCATTCGCTATCACTTACTGACCGGGTGGCTGTTCCGTAGGGGCGCAGGATAAAAAATATAATAGAATCACTCCAAGTACCCCCTGCGTACTGCTGTTATGATCTCCGCCTGTTTATTTTATGCCGAAAGCGATCATTCTGGCCGCTTCTTGCCTCATAATCGTGCCTTTCGCGTATTCAATGCTAATTACATTAATGTGAAAAAAACGAAAAGCCACGGTACTGTAAAAGTGAATGGCGACAGAATAATACTCTGAGGTCCTGACGAGCACTTAGGGGCAGGTGTGGGGAAGGGCGAATTGATTGGCAGGACCTGACGGTTATCGTTATCTTACTTGTGAAGCTCTGAAAAGGACGATAGCCATGTACAGATAAGGACTAGACGAACCTGAACAAGGAAAGGAGCCTAGAAAGGTATTGAGGCGCAGAGACTGTCTTTGCACAATACTGCTAGACATTTTCAGGTTTAGTGACGTGCATGACTGTATTAACAATGAGATATTTAAGAAAACCAAGAACCTTTGTGGTCCCTTTGATACTTATGAGTTGAACACTATACATTAAATCTGTCTAAAGCAATGTTGAGGACTGAATTAAAATAACACTGATAAAGAACAGACCTATATTCTTCCATGACCCATAACTTCTCTCGCACGGCATCCATAAGAGTTCCAAGACGATTTTTACCACGCCATCGTGAAGGATTCACAGCATCCGGACTGTCGATCGAGAGACCTGAGCTTACCGCGCGCAGATGCTTCTGTATCCATAGGAAAAGTTCAGCGACAGATTTTTTTTTCCATCACATCAAACAATGAGTCGAGAAACAAAATATCACAGAAAAAAAATCAATTTGTTCAAATACATGGATCTGTTTGCTGCTTATCACTGCTTGTACTCCATTCTCGGTATCAGAGCTGATTTTAGTTAAATCATAATCACAAGCTCAACATATCATTACTGTGCCTCAATCCTTATCTAGAATCTATGACCACATCAATCCAATGCTGTGAAAATGCTGGCAAAAAACACCTGTTCATTCCCGAGCTTTTGCTGCACGGGATGAACCCACACTCTCCCAACCGCATAATACGAAGGGCTGACAGGTAGGTTCACTCAGTTCCTTTTCTCAAAACAACTCGCACCATGTTGTAGGGGAACCTACATGAGCCACAAGTAAAGAGAATATGTTTTCATTGCGCTTCTGAAAAGACAAAAGGGGTGAACAATAGTTTTCTGGTTCCTATTCCCAAAGTGACAAAATTTAATACTAGAATTCTTGTTTTCTGGCAATCGTATATGCCTGTACTTCCTGCCTGGACAAAAATGTGCTTTAAAACTCCCAAACTTGTAACACTCTTATAAATAACAAAAACGCTTCTTATTACAAAGATCGCTGAACTTCTTTCTTTCTTTTTGGTCTTCTTTGCATTCCCACAAGCGCGAAAGGAAAACGAACCACACCTTCCTGTCCAGAGGTACTCCCCACCGGCAATAAATGGTTTCTTAAAAAAATTAAAAGAAGCAAAAGAAACCCAGAGACCCCGAAAATCCCACAACACGACTGACCATGCTGCTCACGCATTCGCGTGGCGGGAATTGTTAAAAACACTGAGGAACGCAGAGAAGAATACTTGGGGACGAATGGGAGAGGACGCACAGAAATTGTTATTTTAATGGAAGAAGACGCGGCAAAACCCATTTCATTATGGTCAAACTGTGCATCATTGGCGGAAATAAACCAAGTGAGCTTCAGACCGTACATATAGTGTAGTTCGCTGCGGACGGTTGGGCGTGTCAGGCGGGATGAGTTTGGCGCGGTGCCAAACCCGTTCTCCACCAGTTGTTAAAGCGAGCAAATGATATGACTGTATCATATCGTTCGTATTACTCGTTTTCTGTCGCTTTTTGTCGCATGCGCGTTTCAACAAGAAGGCACGGCTTCGGGGTGACACACTCATACTGCCTAACATGCCCAACTGTCCGCAGCGAACTAGAGTGTACATATACACATACGTAGACATAGAGGAATAAAATTGGCAATAATCACGTATGGCGAAGATGTTCTCACCTATGCCCCAAATGACGTCTTTCGGTGAGCATTCGACTAGCCTAGAACCGTGCGTCAAGAACAACATGTAACGCATCTGAGTATTTTGCATGAACTTCGCTTCGAGTGCAAGTGTCATAATGGAAGCGCTTATGCTGTCCCACCTGAAAAAAGGAAATATTTAATCACTGGCGATATGTTGTAACAGAGTTTCACAGTGAGCATTTAGTTCCGCCAATGCGATGAGATTCCGCACTAGAACATCTGCCACCGTAGCGCGAGCCTAGTCATTGTTGGACATAGATCGAGAAAAAAAAACATGCTAATATAGACACCATAACTGCTCTGGGACTGTCTGGGCATCTTCCCATTTCATGTCTGAAGTCGTTAGTACCACAGCGGTACAAGTGAACACGCTAAGCAACGGATTTGAAGACTGTTGCAATACACGGACCTGTTGCGGTACTAATATTACTAGCAAAGAGATATCTCCAACTAGGGTTGTTACTGATGTTTTCGGTAAACGGTATTGCAGTTGTAACACAGCTTATTGATTGAGACGATTCATCATTTTGCATGCAGAAAGTGGGAATGCTCACATGCTTATCAACGGAACGCCTTAAATCAAACCAGCTGGCAAAATCCAAGTCACGTTCTTTTACTTGTAAATCTCAATGGCAGCGATGAAGACAACTACACCTCAGTACAGTCTTGTCCGCTGCGGAGATAGGCCTGTCGTGCGGCGTTTTGCGCGCCAGCTAGTTGTCCATTACTTGTTGAAGCAGGTAAGCGACAACAACTGGTGGAAAACGACTGATGCCAACTATATGATACAGTACTGTCGCTTGCTTGCTTCAACGACTGCTGGAAGACGAGTTTGGCGCGATGCCAAATGCGGCCGCACACGTCCGATCGCCCACAGCGAATAGGTATCAAGCCATTCGTAAAGGGTGACATTCAAACAACGCAGTGATATGTATGACGCCGAGACTAACACACTCTTTACAATGGCTTAATTACGCAAAACATGGATAATCTGCCCTCAGCATTATCCCATTATCACTTAGTACGGAGTGATTGCAAAACTTCTTTACTTACCACTAGATCCCTGCAAAACATAAAAACCCCCAACTTTTCTCAATTACTTTGAGTGAAAGACGAAAGGAGCTGGGCTTTCGAATAATTGCAAGTATTTCTATCACGCTGACGGAACTATAACAAGAAGCATATGCAAAAAGCTAGGAGCTTTCAAAAACATGACAGTGGTACTTCTCATCACCCCTCAAGGTTTCACAGTTTCCACAAGCTTGCTGAGAGCGCGTTCATACTTTGCGATCTGACTGCTTGTATCGCCCGGTCCGAGCGATCGGACCGTATGTATGAATGCGGCCTGAGATGTAACTAAAAGCCTTCTTCAGGACTTGGATGTGAACGTCATTTCTTTCAGAAAAGTGCGCGACCCAAAGTTCACCAAGAGTTGTGAATGAGATGGAGGCTGCCATCAAAGTTCGCGAAGCTGGGAAATCGGCAATTCGGAGAACGCACCCAAAAGAGTATCATCCGACGAACTACAGAACATGAGGTGTCCCAAATGGCTAGACGGGAAACGCTCCACTCGGATTTCCCCAAGTCGCTAGGAGGGGGGAGGGGAGGGTGGAGGTGGGATGGATGGTCAATTTCCGTCCAACCTGTTCGCCCAGTCTTCTATTCTCCAGATTGATATTTCCACGTTCTTTTCCGTACTCTCTGATTCTACAACGACGCGAAGTAGGGACGCGGCATAAAAGTTGCACAGCGTCGTTAAAAGCGCTACGCATGAATTTCTTGAATAATTGATGCAAACAATAAACAAACCTTTCTCGATCGAATCCTTCAATCGTCATACCGAGCCGTTTCATGTTCTTTGGATCGCGTTCTGACATTATTTTCTCTGCGACTGTTTTATCGCCCGCTGACAAGGCTTTGCTATACCTGGAATTTGAGAGGCTTCGTCATCGCCACCAAACACTCTTTTCTATTCGACTTCTAACAAGTTATTTAATACCGTCTCACAATACTACACAGTTAGTACTCTAAGATATAAACAACTAGTTCATATTGGTCGACTAAATTGTAACAAATGAAAAAATTAAAAAAATGAAGTTGTGCGAAACTGATTAAACTGTAATGCGCCTGCAACTTACATATAATACTGTTCAACACAATTAAAATGCCTTCTTGAGCCGTCCATTGCTTTCTGCTGAAAACGGCATGGATGAAAGTTGGAGAACGGGCTCTGGATGGTGAAGAAAAGAGTGAAGTCGCCATTTGGTGACGACACACGACGTGTACCCATTCAAAATGGAACACTGCAATTGTAAAGATATGAAAACGGTAGATTTTGCGCTACTGAAACATACGTAACATACAGATCATTTCTGTGCAGACCACCCAAAACATTTAAAACAACGACAAGCATTTCCTTCATGTTAAGATGGGCAAGGGAAGCATTCAGTCCAAGTCTGGTGGGGAAGGAGCTTTGGAGCAGGACCAAATATCACGTCGCGAAAATCGCTCGGTCAGTATGCCGCCCTCCAGGAAAGAGCGTCCACCCGATCTGCCTCTACCCCCCCCCCCTTATAGACTGTTAGTGTATTTGCTCAATATCTCGCGTCACGCGCTCATGAATTTCCAACTCAAAGGAGAGCAGGATCGATCCGCCAGCATTAGTGAAACTTGCTGTGCTAGCTTTTGAGTCCCAAGAGCAAGCACAGCCAGTTTCATTTGTGCTGTCACTACTCCATTCATTGTTAACGCCTGCACATACGACTCCTTCTACCTAAGGGAAAGTCACATACGACCTCCACGGATCCCGCTTGGCCCTGCTAGGGACTGGATGAAGTGATTTGCCTAGCTCAAACTTTTCTATCTAGGCTCCAAGCGAAAATCCCAATCCCAAACCTGATCGCTTCCTCGCATCTTCGACCACAAAAGTCGAGGAGATAGCGTGGGAATGGTACTCACAACACCCCATGGTCTCAGAAATCCGTGGTACAAGATCGGGATTGCAGTAATCGGACGAACTGTTGCACCGAAATGCCTCGAAATACTGGAGAAGCGCCCGGATTTATGGTATTTGAACACAGTCCCCGAGCTCAAGCACTTCGTAAGCGTCCTACCTTGTGCAGATCTACTGGTTCACTGTCTCTTATTATACCACCTTCGCGGCCCTACAGTGAGAAAAGAAGGCGCTGTGGTCTTCTTAAGTGGCACTTCTGACCCTTCCCTAGTTGTCTCGCCCATCGAAACTCAATGGCTATTTTCCATAACGGCTCAGTTTGTCCACCGTTCTGCTCGTTTTTGTTCCACTGTTAGATGGTAATGGCATCGGATGACACGAAGAAACGTAGTGAGCTAGGGCGGCAGGATATAGCTCTGCTGACATAAAGGTTCGGAAAACTCGTCCAGAGAAGCTGCAGCTCCTCACTTCGGGTACAGTTTACGACTATTTTGCCTTTTTCTTCTCTCTAGAGTCACTTAAATATAGATTTGTAATTACACGCCACTATCCGAGCTTGTCCTTAAGCCTAAGCGAAACCATAGCGCATCAAGACACTACCCGCATTACCTACTGCTTCGATTTTAAAAATAAATAAATGGATTGATGTGCTAGTATACTTAAAAGAAGTACTTAAAAATCTTCAATTTGGGAAACGAAACTAATTCTAGCGGCCAGGAAACAGTTTCAAAATCTATTGTTTGTTGTTGCGAGAGAACTACGAACGGCAAAAAAGGATTCATTTCTCCCTTCTCTCTACCACCAGATTCAGACAGAATATCAATATTAGCTTCACAAGACTGCAGCACTTGCAGACTTAATGTCGAAGTTTTTAAAAACGTAGCGTGAAAACGCAAGTCGAGCCATTGTCATAATTCCGATGGTGGTGCGGCTACTTGAAAGCAAGTTTATATTCCAGAGAAAAAGCTTTAAAGCTCAGAACTTAAATTATTACGAGACAAGAAGAAAAATTGGCAAAGGAGGGTATTAAAATAATGCGGAGATTTCCATAGAAACTACGTCGTTCAACACGCCTGCACAATTCCACATTTACCGTAATCCACACCACCTACCTATAACTATGGCGGCGCGCTCTGGAGGCGTTTCCAACGTTTTCATGTATGGTGGAGGTATACAGGAGTCGATCCGTTATTCGATCCAAAGACCGCGCGCGTGATAAGGCGCATTCATACACAACAACGTTAAAGACGAAAAGACGAAAAATCCTACTAGAATATAATCCGCTAAGTATGTCTGTCAGTGTGTGTGTCTGCTTGTGTGTGCGCCTGTCTGTCTGTCATCAGGCCGCGTTCATAGCTTGCGTTCGTGAAGAAATGCAGAAATGCCGAAACTGCAGAATGTGCAGAAAAGCAATAGATACTTACCGACTTGAAGAAATGCCGAAAGTGAAGAAGTGCGGAATCTGCAGACGAAGTGCGGAAAATCGATACGTATCGGTTGCTTTTCTGCACATTCCGCACTTTCGGCATTTCTGCAGATTCCGCACTTCTTCACTTTCGGCATTTCTGCATTTCTTCAAATCGATACGTATGTAATGCTTTTCGTCATTTCTGCACTTTCCGCACTTCTGCAGTTTCGGCATTTCTTCAAAGTCGATAAGTATCTATTGCTTTTCTGCAGATTCCGCACTTCTGCACTTTCCGCACTTCTGCATTTTCCGCATTTCTGCATTTCTTCACGAACGCAAGCTATGAACGCGGCCTCACGAAATTCATAGCAAGCGTCGCAGAAAAGATAGGACGACAGTTCCAAGAAGTGATATACATGGCAGGACGGGAACACTTTTGGTGGGTGACAGAAGGTGATAACACCTGATAAGATTCGATAAGGGGCCTTAGAAGGGGAGGGTGACCGAGCCCATAGTGCGGGACACAGTAACAGTGGGACATTGGTTCCAAGGTATGATATAGGACGTGGGACAGGAACATTATTGGTGGGTGGCAGGGAGTGATATCAGCTGATAAGATCTGAAAAAAGGCGTCAGAACGGGAGGGGCATCAGTCAATAGTGCCGGACACAGCATCAGCCAGGCATTGATTTCGGAAAATGATATAGAGTTGGAGATGGGGACACGGCACGTGAGGTGATAACAGCTGATAGGGGCTGATAAGGAACGTTGCCAATGCTGTTCAGTCAAATTGCTGGAGCCTTTACACTACCAAATTATAGAGTTTTAGTGATAGGGACATTGATGACGGGTGACAGGCAATCTTATCAATTGATAAGAAAGGATAAGGGCCATTCTCATTACATCTCTTATCACTATACTGCCAAGTATTGAAGGCTCAGTGTGCAAACTTTTCCTTTAGCCATCACTTCTCTGATAGCCCTAGAAAATGAACTTATCCTACTATATAATGTCGATGTCGACGAGCGGGGGGGGGGTATGTAGTTCGCCTGAAACAGGAATCTCAGGGAAATTCGAGGAGAACCGAAAAACACTTCAACGAGCGGATCGCATGCTAATTGAAAAGGAAAGCGTTCGTCGGTAGGCATTCCGGT